TGCAACGTTCGCAGAGTCCTTTTTAGAGGGCATAGTTGGGCGTGATCAAATTTTGATGCCGTTGCCGGGGAGTTAACGGAATTATCAATTACCATTGATAGAAATACAAAAATTCTTAGTGTGGTCAGTTTTCTCTATACCCAACTTGTGAATATTTGCGTAATTAATTTTTCTTACCTTAGTCTATTTTTATTGTTTGGGTCTTATTTATTTTCTTAGTTTTGAAAAATGGCATCATATAATAAAAATTGGTGGGATGGTAGTTGTTCATACTGTGATGACCTTTGTCTTTATTGTGGAGGATCACACTCGTGGCAAAATTGTTTAAATTTTTCCGGGGGTGGATTGTGCGCACAATCTCAAACCCATGAGTGGAGTATTCGTGATAAGTGTGATTTTCAAAATGGTCATTGGGATGATTGTGTTGATTGGTCATTCCCTTCCCCAAGCCCCCGCTATGATGATTCTNCTGTGTGTTTGCAAAGCGAAATAGTAGTTTTGTTCAGTCTTGGAAGTGATATAGGCGTTTCTTTGTGAGCCAGATATGTATATTTTACCCGCCTAATTGTTATGTATCGTAGTTAACCCCTTTGAGACTGTAATCTAGTTTCTTTGGCAACCACATTACAAGTCTTACCCATTTGTTTGAATTAACCATCTATTTGAACCATTGTAATCTCTCATGAACACTTGAATTATTATGAACTTTCTAAAAGTTAAAGTGTGGGGTGGTTGGTTTGGCTTTTGAGTGGAACCAATGAAATAAGGAGAAAGGTGCACTGATTTGAAAAAGCAAGAGCCACTTGAATTGGAAAAAAAAAGGAAAAGAAAAAAAATATTCTTTGATAGTGGTGACTCTTGATATAATTGTGCTTAAATAATTTGGGAGTTGATGTATATTGATGTGAAGGTGGAGTTTGGTTTGACATAAGTATGGGGTTTGAATGTTAAATTATATGTATTAAAGTGCTTAGGGAGGTGTAGTCACTCTTATATCTAAATGTATCCTACCCGTCCCGTAGCCTACATTACAACCAAATAAAGTCCTAATTGATCCTAGATTGAATGAGCTCGATTAGTGGAGTAGTACACTACGGGCAAGCTTATGGTGCATCTTTTGTGGCATATGAATATTATTTCTGAGAGTGAGTGAATTCTTTCTATCTTGAGTTCCTAAGTGTTCTTAAATTTTATTGTGTGGAACCACTCTTCTTTTTGTTGTGTAAGGGCACTTGATTCATGAAGGAAAGGTAATGCCAGTGACCTCTATATTAAAGTAAGTGGGTGAGTTGTGAATAATGCGTGGTACTTGTGAGTCAAATCTTGAGGTGAATATGTTACGCTTTTGTGCTTAGTCTATTTTAAATATTCTTGGTGTGATGAGTTAGGAAAATTGCTTTAAAAAGGTCGTGTCTATATAAAGTGTAGTTTGATTACTCAAGGACGAGCAATGGTTTAAGTGTGAGGTGTTGATGATAGGCTATAATTACGTGTTTTAGTTGATTATTACACTCATAATTTACTGCACTTTAATTGAGTTTGCGCTTTAATCGCTAGTGTTTTGCACTAATTATGTGTTTTATGCCTTGTAGGTGTGATTCCGAGCTATA